CCCCCCCCCCTCTTCTATCTTGACCTCGGAGAAAGTGCTCCAGAATAACGAGAATGCTGCCTCCCTGTCAGTCTTCCCTCCCTCCTTCTAGACAGTGTGGGAGGATCTCAAGAACTGGTGTATTTTCAAGCATGGAACTGCTGATGATGGCTGTCAGTGCTTGTCACCTGTTGGCGCACGCACTCTCTCCTATACACGTTAGGCAGGTACGTGTGTGTGTGCGTATGTGTGTCCTGTCAACGAGAAAACCGTGGGGACGAGAAGTGAATAATAGGCGGTAGGTTTGGTTTAGGTGTGTGCTGATAAGGTAGGTTGGTGGAAACCGCATGGTAACCCAGATGAACCGTGAGGATAGAGCAGAGATGAATTCGACCAAGTCTGTCTAATTAACTTGTAGACCTAATAGGGTTGAAAAAAAATCAAATGACTTAGGGACATAATGCATCAGGGATGCTGCGTTCTGTAGATCACCCTCGAATTAATGCTATCTGGTACGACGCTCAAAATGTCATCTGTGTGTGTGTTTTGTGAATCAGGAGGTGTGGTGGAACACCTAGGCGAGGATCCGTCCGAGCAATCCACCTGCGGCCTCTCTCATCTCCGGTCTTCTTGACTCTGTCTTGAGACCGGACTCAGGCGGCGGAGGAGGAGAGAGTGTAGGTAGATGCAGTGCAAGTCTAATGGCACTATAAACCCCTGCGCAAGTCACCGTCCCTGCTCGAACCCCCTGTTGTGGGTCACACGGTGGACATCATCGAAATCGATGGTCGAACTATCGTGTGTGTGTGTGTGTGTGTGTGTGTGTGTGTGTCCCCGAAAGAGAGAGATCCCCTAATGTCAGCGTCTCTGAGGTTGGAACACCTCATGCCATACCGGTTGTGCATAACACCATTGCCCGTGCATATCAATCCACGGTCTCAATTTGCCGCTTATTGCACACATTAGACAGCGACTCCGCATCACACGTCAGTTAATGCGTTCGACCGCGTCGTCAGCCAGCTTGAATTGGACAGGCCACAGAGACATGGGGGAGGCCCGACAGAGAGAAGTCAATGCAGCATGAATTCAGCGCTTAGGCTCCTCACTATAAGCAACCAAACGCACGTCGGCTTCCAAGATTGCTAACTGAGGCCAGACCGGTGGACCGTAAGTGTGGTCTTTTTGACACACTCTCTCGCTCTCTAACGTGAGACCTAAAATCCCGCATTTAAAAGCCGTCACGTGTGCAGTGAGAGAGAGAGAGAGTGCAGGTCATGTGTGGCACACGTATGCTGGCTGATTTACTCTCTCTCTGCCACCGTGCCCACACACACATACACGGCAGTTCAACCGTCGTTGCCAACGACGTCCACCGTGTGCTCCACAGGTGGGTGAGAGCGGGGGAGGTGACTTGTGCGTGAATTTGTTTATATTGGTAGTAGACTTGCACAGCATCTACCGCACTCTCTCCTCCTCCGCCACCTGGACCCGGTGTCAAGACAGAGTCAAAAAGACCAGAGGCAGGGGCGAGGGCGCAGGCGGATGGCACGGTCGAGCCCGCACTTTGGCCCTCCACTCCACACCCCCTGGTCCACACAACAAATGACCAGGTTTCTGACCATCAGTAACAATCAGGGGTGGCAGGCGTCCCAGTGTGCTGGACGGCTGTCGGCAACAGGGTCTGCCACCGCATCCCGAAATGTTGGCATTGGGTGTTCAACTCAGGTAACGCCTGCCAGAATCCGGTATGGTCCATATGCTGGCCTAGCGCATCTACCACGTGACCCGTTTGGTTGCACAACACACACGCACATCCTTGATCGTCCGGACTTTGCTTCGACGTCGATGCAGAAGGTGTAAAGTGCTACGGAGGCATCGTAAGTACGCTTCGCTGGAAGCAAACTCACACGCCAGTCACGGCTTCGTTCACCTCGTGGACAGATGTATGCCTCGTGGCTTCTGACGGTCGGGCTATCGCTTGTGTGCATTTTACCCAACAGCCTGCTCTGTGTGGTGTCATAGTATTGCGCCAGTTGGACTGTTTCGAGTCAGCGTGAGTTCTTAACTGTTGTCGCAAATGTTTGTGGCTTTATTCCCACATCAGTCATCGCGTCCAATCTCATTGCCCGCTTGTTGGTCAGGTTAGGACACCCAGTGAGTAGGTACATTTACGTAGCCGAGTTATTTTTACTGTATCGCAGATGCATTATGCACCGAAATGCAAGGGGTATTGCCCCAAACTCGCAAACTTTGAGGGGTCAGGTTTGATTTCAGTGAGGTCAAGCATGGAAAATTATCCCCCATTGGTCCGTATGTCGCAGCGTATATGCGTTTCAGTGGAAGCATGTCCGTCTCCATACAGCACTGATCCAAAATAAAAATACGCGGAAGTAATATGTGTCTTATGGGCGGAACGGTATTACCGGCAAAGCCAAGGGAGACCGGAATGGCCATTTCCGGCTCATCAGCCGTTGTCAGCCAGCCATACCCAACCCCGATGTGTGGAACACTTGGGACTCAATCCCGCGACCTGTTGTTTAGAAGTCTAATGTTTTTAACAACTGAGCCACGGGTCCGTCGTCATGTCGGCTGCGATCGGGAATGTACAATGGTAGAGGGGCGCTCACTGATGATTTTTACGGAACTCACTCGCCCGCTGTGCCTTAGGGCTCTCTTTCTCTTGACTGAGTTCCGTAAAAACGATCGGTGAGCGTCTCCCCCGCCCATCACATCTCTCAGTCAAAAGGTCTTAAAGCGTGTGCTATGCCAGCATCAGCAAACCACGGCCCTCACAGTCTTTTATCCCATGTTGGGGTGTTGTTGTTGTTGTTGTTGGCCAAAAACCTGGTCATCTACTGTGTGGACCACGGGGTGTAGAGTAGAACAACAAGGTGCAGGCTTTACTGTGCCGGCCACTTGTGCCCTCCCTCAACCCCGGCCTTCCTGACTCTATCTTGACACCGGGTCCATGTGGGGAGAGTGAGGAAGAGAGAGAGCGTGTGGTAAATGCTGTGCAGGTCTACATTCACCATAAACTAATTCACGCGCAAGTCACCGTTCCCACCCCACCTTGTTTTGGAGCACACGATGGACATCGTCAGAATCAACGATCGAACTGTCATCACATCTCTTATAATCCTTTTGCGGTGCCTACACAAATTAGCTTTTCCGGGACTTGTATAAGCATAGTTTGCCTCTTCTACTTCTGTTACGTAAATTACCCTAATATGATAGCCATTGTTATAATGACGCTTATTTTGATGTCGTCTGACAGGCATCAAAAAGGGAAATTCGACAGTGCAGCTGTTTGAACTCAAGCACTTAAGTAGACATGACTGCACTCTACGCCCGGAATACCTCGAACCGTGACACTTTAAAATATTCAGCCGCTCGGGTGGTAGGACACAGGTAACTACACCCTTAACCGTCCACCACTGTGGTACAAAACCATCTCTGATACAGGAATGGTGGTAAAAACGGAAATTCACTAGAGGGACCAGATACCAGCCGCCCTCATCTTTCTTGAGTCAGCCATATGCATACTCCATGTTTTATGGCCCCACAGCAGATCGGCACGGATGGCCGCCCCTTAAACCCGGTTCTTTGTCTAACTGATGGCGAAAAAAATGTTCCTCAAGGATTGCATGTGGACTGTTTCGTCCCCTGGCATGTATAAATCGGCAGCATATTGTTATCGAGGTAGACGCGATTCAATCCCGTCAAATCTTATATCTTCTCTAGGGAGATAATTGCTTCACTTAGCATGGAACCCTTTTTACGGAAGGCAACGTTTATGCAATCAGCGACAGATTATGTTTCCGCAAAGGAGTTTCCGAACTGGGATTTCGTCGGCATAATCGAGTTCCCAAATGGAAGGGGAGGTCTTGCCCCATCTGGATGTAATGGCAACCGTGAGGCGCTACTGACAAATCGATCAGTCTTGTCAAAGATCAGTGTTTACAGCGAGGTCCTCGGTCTCAATCACTGTAAGCTCAAACATCAGTTGGTATGAGCTGACACCATGTTCAGTTCGAAAGCTCCAGAGTGCACCACCACCTTCAGTGGACTTCTGCTGATTGGTTCAACGTTCCAGCGAAATTGACGAAACAACCGTACCCTGTTACTTATGTTGTCAGAGAACAGAGGAAGGTTGTACAGTTCTAGGCCCGCTCTAGTCAGACCCAGCCTCGTGAACCGGAGGTAGGGATTAGGTGCGCGTACAGCCCAACCCTGCGTGTGCGCCATGACGTATGCTAGAGCCGGGTAAATAACCAGAATCACCACTTTCTATTCCTCTGCCTAGCTTATCACCCACCTCCAGCCTGAGAACTTAAAGACAAGTATTGACACCTGACTAAGCGTGTCAAAGTTGAGGCCAAGAGCCCAGTGAACAGTCGACTAAACACGAACAAACCTGCACAAATCAACTGCTCATTCTGATGTGCAAAAAAACAGTTGACGCGCCCTAAACTTGCCATGATGTGGACTCGAGTCAGTCCTGAGTCCTTCATTGAATTGCTGTTGGAGGGTGCAAGGAAGGGCGTGAGTGAGTGAGCTAATTTGTATGCATCATGGAGACAGTCCATAGGAACCGTGTGCTTGTCGGGCGATGTGACGTGGTTTTGTCATACATCCACATCCGCATGCAGACCAAGCAAAGGCCGTTGTCCGGTGGGGAATCAGCAGTGCGATTTCAGTCTCGAGACCCCCCACAGAGGCCCTTCAAGGGGGGGGGGGGAGTTACGGATTGAATAGACAAGAACGAGGTGGTGAACCGAATAAAGAGGAGTATGTGGGAGGGGTATCACTGTTGTGATAAATTTTTCATTTGTCTAACGCCCACCCACGCTCACCCCTTTGTCACGCGGAATGCTCCAGAATGTTTCCCAGCGTACTTCGATCGGTAATAATTACAACTGAATAGGTGTCCAGGAATTATGACCTTTCTACCTCTGGCGCGGACCTCACGTAAGTGCAAGCACACTTTCTCTCCTCCCAGAGCAACAATTTCGTACAGTGAATCAGTTAAATCTAAGCTGACGAGGTATAAATAGGAAACAATGTGTTTTAAATGTGCAATTTGATGCAGAAGAGTTGGGTAACCTACGTTTAGAGTCACGAATCTTTCCCCCGCCATGGTATCCGTTGGATTCAGCCTCACGGCTGGTCCGATTTTCTGAAGACAGCAAGGCGCGCTTCCTGCTGACCCTGCGCCGGTTTGATGAGGAACGCCCACAGTTGCCAGCTAACACTGAACTGGGGTCCGCACCATCACTGGGCGGCCGCATCAGCAGAAGTTCGTCCTCCTCCTCTCCTCTTGCCGTCACCACTGAGCGTTCCAGGCCCTCTGATCCGGTCATTTCATCAAAAGCCTCGGGGTCGAGGTCAGTCTCCTCGTCCTCCATCATGTACTCCTCCGGTGACATCTCGCGTCCAGCCGTCAGGATGTCCAGTCTCAGAGCCGCATCCCCTACAGAGCCGCCATTCTTTTCGACCTGCTCTCCCGCAAAGTTCTGGGATAATTTAGACGCTACGTAGCTCCCAATATCTGCGTCCGCCGCAATTCTGCCCGGATGGACATCGTAGGGTAGGCTGGGGAAGGCTGGAAGGCTGTTGGGGGGCATACCACCGCCGCTGCCGCCGCTGCCACCTCGGCAAAGACCCGCCATTGCCACTGCGGCCGCTGCCATCATAGCAGTGAAGGAGGAAGTGGAGGGGGTATGCGAAGCGTTACCGAAACCGGCTGTGAAGGGCAACTTCTCCTCGCTGGCAACAGCGGCTGTCTCTGCTCCCGGGAGTTGGCGCCTATCTGTAAAGCTCTCAAGGCCACCGGCCAGCTCCGGGGGTCCCTGGAGGTTTCCTGGCAAATGGGGCTGGTGGCTTGGACAACAGGCTGCTGCTGCTGCAGCGGCCGCAGCAGCTGCTGCCGCCGCTGCCTTATGAAAGTCGGCCTCTCGTGTAGGGGACAGATTATTAGCTGAGATGGCTGAAGCTGCAGAAAGGATGGAACGGAAAATGTTGTTGGCCGGTAGAACTGGAGATGATCCTGCTCCAGAGCAGGTCACCAGGGGCTGTTTCTCATCGGCTGTGTGGCCGGGTTCGCTAGGCAGTGCTATCAGATCTGAATAAGTCTGCATTCTGGGATCTGTAACATTGGTTGTGTGGAATTTGGGAGGGGGACAGGACATCTGACTAGCAGCGTACCAGGCGGAGAGGGTGGACGCTGGAATGCCACTCGAGGGAATGAAAGTTGACGGGGGAGATGAACAAGGGGGAGGCTGTGTCTTTGGAGGGGCGGGATGCAGAGGTAGGTTGTTGTTGTTGCTGTTGCTTGCCGTTGAACACATCTTTGGAAGGGACATATCGCAAGGCGGGAAATGGGACGCGGAGAGTGGAACCTCTGAAGGAGGTGAGACTAGATCAGAAGTGGAGAAGGAAGAGGAGGAGCATGAGCAAGTGGCAGATGAAGAAGAGGAGGGGGCGGGAACAGCCTGACGTGTCCCTGGGACAGAAAAGGCAGGGAATGAAGTCGTGTTGGCTTGGGCGGTCGATTTTCTGGGCTCAGGGGGTAGCATGAGTTGACGCAACACCGCAGCTGCTGCGGTCATCTGGTCGAGCTTGGAGAGGTGACCAAACGGCCAATAGGGATTTGCAGTGATTGATGATAACATCAAAGGACGGATCATGTCACCAGTGCCGCCCCAAAGGGGAGGCAGGCCTGGATGGCGGAAGTCACTGCGATCGACTGCCTCTGGGGCCGGTTTGATTATACTTGCCAGTGGTTCCTGACCGCTCCCGATCTTCACTTCCGAGTCATTGTTAAGTGAAGCCGATTCTGTGGAACCTGCCACGGTACTCTCGGGCAGCTTCTCTCTGCTAAGGCCGGGTTTTGTGGTTGGCTTCGGTGACGTCATTATGCGATGTTTGTTTTTTTCGGTTTCTGTATGACCGGATCCTTCTGTGGGTCGACATGGGGCGCCTTTCGATCGTTCACGGCCATAGAAATCCAAAGGAACCTTTTCGGCATCAGTATCAGTTGACTCAGCCTGACTTTTTGTTGTTCTGCCCTTTTTTGCCTCCGTATCACTTTTTGTCGTCTAAAATAAATGAGAGGATACATATACGCATACAAATATACATATGTAAATATCAATACACATGTGTATGTGTTCACGTCTGCGGTACGTACTAAAGATCAAAGAACATATTTGCAATTTTCGTGCAAACATCATGTTATGTAAAGCTCGGGTTTAGTGGCATCGCGAAATTCCTTTCCTTTTGTTTCCTAGTTGGAAGAATTCGTGGTGATTTACGAACAGCTGGAACAGGAGCAATTCCTAACGAGGAATTACGAGCATTTTGTACTTTATTTCATCGACTGACTAATTCAGCCAGTCAAGAAAATGTATGGTTTGCATGAAAATTAGGTCGGATGTGGTTATGTAACCCCACCTTGAGTAAACAAACCCCGGGATCGGTGGTAATAAGGGTTTTTACAGGTTTGGACGGAGAACGCACAGACGACGCTGTCAAGTAGTTGTATGCGAAAGCAGAGCTATTGGGAATACGTGGTTGTGCTTTGAGTGGTTGAGAGATAGTTGCGCTAACCCCTAACCCTAACACCCAACACTTACTTCTAACGATAATCCCTAACCCCTAACCCTTAACCCCAACCCAAACAGCATTGTGTCCATCAGGTGGGGCTACCCAAACACGTCTTACCTTATAGTCAAATTCCCTGAACGATGGTTTGAAAACATGCGCCGTTAATACTTTAGAATTGTCGGAGTCCGATATTAGTCAGAAATTTGAGTTGCGTCTCTATATGTTCTTATGTTTCCCAAACTGCTTTTCTTGTAGTACGAACATACACATTGGATGTCGTGGACTACTGGTATGGTTCTTGAGCCCGTAACGTACATACCTCCTAAACAGGCACAAGATAATCCTACCTGTTTGATTGCGCGTGACTAACACCAAACACCATCTGTCATGACTCGAAAGGTTGCCAACTGGTGAACTAACTTGATTATAATAGGAACTGAGAGCCAGGTTTTAATAACTTCTTTATTATACGTATATATGATGAGAGGGATGCACTGATATGTTGCGCGGATGGGTTCCTCAGGGTAAACCTCCCTCGCTCGTTTCTCCCCCCGCCCGTGCCACTGTTTGTCCAAGCCAGTCTGACTATGACTCGTCTACGCGTCCCGTACACGTACCAAACTGCAAAAAGGGACAGAATTCCCACGTGCGTGAGGTGTATATATGCTCTCACACGATACATTTCAGTCGTCATAGCGACGCTGGGAAACTCCATTGCAGGCCCATTGTGTGGCGAGCTGTTGACAGTTGTCGTGTACACGCGTGTGATTTAATAGGATCGTGTTCAGCCTAATTGGGTTTGTTCATTCGGGTAGTAGTAGACTGTGGGTGCATCCGTGACTCATGTATGAGTCTGCCTCTAGCGAGGTTGACCTTCCATGCCCTTATTTTATCCCGCACATCTCCTGCACCGATGGCGAAGTAACGACCGGAGGTGTGTGCGAGCAGGGTGACCAACAGGTCGAAACAGCCAGCATACGCAGGTCATAGACGACCCGATGCTTAAGTGCACGCCTAGCAGGGTTCACTGTGGGATCTCGGGCTGCACACGAAAGACAGAGCCATAAAGGTCCATTACGAAGGAGCGTTTGCGGCCTCAGTCAGGATTGGGACCGAGATATGCCTTCAGTTGGAAGCCTTTGAGTCCACGACTGCCTATGCATCGGGAAATATTCATAACGTTTTGATTGCTTATAGTGACAGTAGGTGGACTAACTCATGAAATTTCAACCGAAATTCCTAAATGCATTTTCATTTCAAAAAGATTCATTAAGTAAGGTTTTAAAACTAGACAGCCTGCAGCGTAATTCTGTGATATTTCAGTTACCTCAGGACGCCGTCTTTCGAACGAACCTCCCTCCGGATGCATCAAGACTATACTCTGTAAAAAAATGATTGCTTAAGTAGCACGCATTTTTTCTCAGATTTTCGATGTCCCTAAAAGTCCAATTATATCTTATGGAAAATATGCATAAAAACATTCATCCTTCTACTCGTTCGTTAGACAGTTACGTCTTGCAATCTTATACTCGAAGAAAGGGTATGATTCGGTTCTCAAAAACTTTTTCAATTCCCAAATAATTTTGAACCCGCTTTACCGTTACACTTCGATTCAGGGTCTCAAAACTACACGCCGTATATTTTACGAGCACGGAAAACCACACATTTATCTACGGTCATAAAGGGGGACCATATAGGGTTCATAAAATTTAGCAGTGGATTTGATGCATATTGTTAACTTTACAAGCCACATTGGTGAAGGCAGAGACATGACGTCTTATGAACGGCCATTTCACGGTATAAAAAAATCTCGCAATTAGAAACTTTTTAAAACCAAATTATACCATTCCTTTGAGTATAAAATTTGAAAGAGACGTAATATTCTACCGAATCGGCAAAAGAATGAATATTTTTTATGCATGTTTTTCATGAAATATAATTGGACTTTGAGGGGCATCGAAAATCAATGAGAAAAATGCATGCTATTTAAGTAATCATTTTTTACAGAGTGTGGTTTTTGCATGCAGCCGGAAGGAAGTTTATTCGAAAGCCGGCGTCCTGCAGTAACTGAAATATTATAGAATTACGTTGCAGGCCGATTACTTTTACAACCCTACTTAATTAATCTTTTCGAAACGAAAACGCATTTCGGGATTTCGATTGACATTTTATGAGTTAGCCCATCCACTGTAGGAGTATAAACGCCGAGCTTAAGTTGTATTGACTTTTTTCCCTCATTCCTCTTCTATGTTTTAATGGCCTGTCCGAGCTAAGCCAGTTAGTGATGAGGTTCGACGCATTAACTGGCGTGACTCGAAGTCGCCGTATGTTGCCTGTTACACCAGGGACCATTTGTCATCAGTCAACCATACCCAAATCCAAGATTATGAGGCACCTGAGATTCGCTTTCGGGATCTTTGAGCCATGAGCTCGTTGTCATGTCGGTTGCGATCTGCGTTCACGGATGGGGCTACGGGATGTACATGTTCAACTGTGCTTTGCGACTCAGTCTAGAGCCCACGAAGGCAGTCTTCTAACAGCCATGCTGCTGAAAGTGGTACCGAAAGAGACTAAGGAGACTGGAAGATTTGTTTCTGGCTCATATGCTTCATCAGCCGCCCATACCCAGCCCCAGGTTTTGGAGTACCTGAGATTCTAACATATGGCAGAAACCGTATAGGTCACCCTGGGGACTCACTGAGGAGCCAAAGATATGTATGGACAATTAGTACCTACTTTGGGAGTGGGGTAAACCCACTGTCGCACATATATATATATATATATATATATATATATATATCAGATAGTCATAACGTACTCTCGTTTTAGGTACTAGCGAAAAACCCAGACACATGTTTCGCCAAAGTTTCTGCTACTGCTTGACAGAACCGCGAGGGATTTGGGCACTCATATCCATGTCTTACACTCAACACTTTCTGAAAGTGTTATCTTGATATATATATATATATAATACATGAGCAGCTCGCTAAGAGTGTAGCAGGCCAGACGCAGACAGCTGTTTCACGGTTTTTACCGATCATCAGTACGTCATAGGCCTTATGAAGTGAGGTATATAAGCATGTCAAGTGGACGTTTGACCCTCACTGTTGTGGTTAGGATCTCACTCGATCCCATTCTGTCCGCGCGCCAGTTTGCTACTGGCGACAACGAATGCTGTGTCATAGGACGCATACCACATCTAATGAGCAGCTCGCGAAGAGTGCGGTTACAACTGTGAAACAGCTGTCTGCGTCTGCCAAACGCCCACCTGACATGCATATATATATATAGGCAGAATGGTATTGCCGACAAAGACAAGGGAGACTGGAATGGCCATTTCCGGCTTATTAGCCGTCGTCAGCCAGCCATACCCAAGCCCGAAATGTGGAACACCCGAGCCTCGAACTCGTGACCTGTTGATTTAGAAGTCAACGCCTCTACTCACCGGGCCATGAGCCCGTGGCCTTGTCGGTTTTCGATCGGGAATATACAATGTTAGGGGGCGCTCACCGATCGTTCATACGGAACTCACTCGTTCCGTTGTGCCTTATGGACTCCCTCTCACACTTCGGGCTTGGGTATGGCTGGCTGACGACGGCTAATAAGCCAGAAATGGCCATTCCAGTCTCCCTTGTCTTTGTCGGCAATATGATTCTGCCCATATATCATGCGCCGCTGTGCGGCTGCTGGTTGGGCTCGAGAGAGAGTCCATAAGGCACAACGGAACGAGTGAGTTCCGTATGAACGATCGGTGAGCGCTCCCTAACATTATATATATATATATATATATATGTATTGGAACGCAGGCATCCCAAGAAATATAAATTGAAATCAAAAACGTTCTTTGTGAAAGGGAGAAAACTTTATTGAGTAAATTTTCGACGTCGGTTCCCCGTGTCGTCGTGAGGCTGAATATCTGCCGTCGAGAGAGAGGAGGAGAGAAATGGAAGACTGGGAAAGGGAACTGAAAGAATGAGAGATGGAGATGGAATGGAGGTAGCGAAGGAGTAGTCAGTGAGTTGCCGAAGCGAGTTTGGTAAGAGGTGGGCCCCGGTCTCTTCTGATAAGGTGGCAGAGCTGTATATTTTGGCCAAACGGGAAAATTTGCCTCTACACGCATCCACGAGCATCAACTTGCAGGTAAGAGGCGAGACCACTTGTCTCAAATGGCCATGCACACTCTTGATACTGGGCACAAGTTCGCATGGGACAAAACTCGCATCATCGGAGTTTGCCCATCTAAAAAAGGCCGAGAGTTTCTTGAAGCCATGCACTCCGATGAGTCATGCATCAACAGGCACATCGAGTT